TATATCTATATATATAAGATTTGTATGTGTATAACAACGAAAATTCACGGTTACATACACAAAAGCGAGACACGCCGATATGGAATATCCATCTATACTCACCTGTGTGAATTCCTTGGCCGTCACCTTGAAGACAGCCACGTGCTTGGCCATAGTCTGCTCAAAGAGTGTTTTGGCGGTCTCGGTCCCCTCGCGTGCTTCTTTAGACAGCATCTTGAGAGCTTCCTTCTGCACACGCACATCATTCATCATTCTGTTTGTATAAAAGAGAAGTGCCACTAATTAGTTAGGCACCACGCTACAATGACCATTGTGACTACAGGTGCATCAGCGAAAGTATGTATAGTGAATATAACTATCCATAACTGGACATCTGTATGCTAAATTTCATGGAAGATGATTATACATGTACATACGTATAAATATATATATATATATATATATACACTCGTGTCAAATATAGATATTTATCAGCTTATCCATCCATCTTGGAAATCAATGCATACACATACGCACATTGGGTTATGCTTAACTATTGGCACTCTAGAGTATCACAGCACGCCTAGCGCAACAGCAGAATCCACTGTCCACACAAGTACTCAACCCACAGCAGCTTCCATGCAACAGTACCAGCGCAATGAATCAACATGAACAACCAAGGTCATCCTTCACGAACAAAGACGAATGCGTTGATGATATCAAGGCAAATGCCATTGAAGATATAAAGACAAATGCCATTGAAGATATAAAGACAAATGATTCGTGGGCATTGGGCCGCTGGCCACAATCAATTGCTGCATGAGATGTTTGTTTACCCATCTACGTCTAGTAAGGCATCACAGGACAATATCGAGGGTCGGATGGAGATACTGAGCTATACACCACGTGAGATCAAGAGTGTGCACGAGCCCACTGCAGCGTACAGTACACTGCGAGAAGGCACCTACTAAGCCATGTGTCAAAGACATACTGTATGGGATCATAGACATGGTGTATGGGATCATATACATGGTGTATGGGATCATATACATGGTGTATGGGATCATAGACATGGTGTATGGGAGTCATAGACATGCTGTATGGGATCATAGACATGCTGTATGGGGTCATAGACATGCTGTATGGGATTAAGACATGCTGTGTGGGATCATAGACATGCTGTATGGGGTCATAGACATGCTGTATGGGGTCATAGACATGCTGTATGGGATCATAGACATGCTGTATGGGATCATAGACATGCTGTATGGGGTCATAGACATGCTGTATGGGATCATAGACATTCTGTATGGGATCATAGACATGCTGTATGGGATCATAGACATGCTATGCTGTATGGGGTCATAGACGTGTTGTATGGGATCATAGACATACTGTATGGGATCATAGACATATGCTGTATGGGATCACGGTATGCCATAGGCATGCACTCACTTACTGTTCTTTCCGCTTACGATGTTGTTCGGCTTCGGTCGCCCAAGTTTGCAGATACAAACTGAACCCCTTCTTCAGAATCTTCCTATCACATTAAGTAAGGCACAAGTATCAGCCATCTTTTCAATGCTCTAAGTAATAAGCATTAGTTTATAATTTGCCTGACTAGGACTGGCCGTTGATTAACACGACAAGTTATAAGGAGATAGAAGAGAACTTGGTGCCTCCTTAAACCACTCCAGATACACGCTTTCGCTTCACAGACAAAAAGCAAAAGAACATTTGTAACAAGTCCGCATGTATCTTGTTAAAACAAGTGCATGTATCTTGCTATAACAAGTGCATACATACATACATACAT